AGCCCGTAATCTCCTTGGGCTAAGGTATTTTTACCCTAGGCTGTCACCTCTGGCAAATTCTTAGTCGGTCAGTTCATCAATTTAAATAAATACCTGTTAAAACCTAAAGGCCTGGAACCCATGAAGAACAGTCCTCATGGATATGACCTGAAGGAACTAGTCTAGTCTTTGGTTTCAGTGGATCTCACTCAATGGAGTAGATGGGGAATATCACACCTACCCCCAATCCAGGGTCAGTGGGTGTAATGAGAAGGCATTTTCACGGAAAGCATTGGCAACAATTTGTGGTACATTTGCAACTATTTATCCTAGCCATTAGGTGGAGGTGTCACTCAAAGGGCAGATGGAGTTCTCAGTACAGAAAAGGAGAGAAAAACCAGTTTGATCAGCTGGGTAATAAGCAAAAAGCCCAGCCTCCTTGGGAAGAGATCCCTTAACCTCTGTCTGTTGGCCTTGCTCACAGCGTTATGATGACTAAATGACCTCACATGGGTGGAGGCCTTTGTACAATGCTGAGTTCATAAGCACTCAACAGAAGTAATCTGTCAACGGTTACTTTTATTAAGTAAATATTAACAGTGATAATACTGAATTATTAGAAAATAATTGTTTTAAGAGAAACAGGCCAATGAGTAAGAGTGGTTGCTGTGGAACCCCGATGTAAAGCACCGGGCATAACTATATAACAATAACCCCAGCAACAAAGCAGATGGACCCTGGGCTCTCCCTGGGCAACCAGCCTGGCCAACATCTCAGGCAGAGAGCAATAGAGGAAGACACCCAACACCTTCCTGTGGCCTCCACAGGCACCTCTCCCCCCCACCCCACACAAAAGTGGGGGCACAGAAAGGGACTGATCACCTTTCACATAAGTTTATTGGACTATGCAGTATCTCAACGCTTTCTCCCCAACATATGTTGTTTCTCAAAAAGGCACATGGGTAACTGTTGTGGGGTATTTGTACACTGTGTGAAGATGTATTGCTGTGATTGGTGTCATAAAAACTGAACGGCCAATGGCTAGGCAGGACTTCTAGGCAGAGAGAGAACCCTGGGAAGACACAGAGGAAGCAGAGTGGATGAGGTAAGCCATGTGAAAGGACACAGATTTTAAAATGTTATAAGAACTAGTTAGGAACAAGCCTAAGCTCCAGCCGAGCTTTTATAACCACTAAGTCTCCATGTCATTATTTGTGGGCTGGCAGTCCCACAAATGAAGAAAGTACTACTACGGATAACACTTGGAAGTCTCAAATTTCTAGATCCTTATGAACCAAATCCAATCTGAGCATTGTTTTGATGAAGAAAACACCTAGTGTAAATGTCCCTCAATGTACTTAGATTATTGGCAAATAAAAATGTTATAATGAGGACAGGGATCCATTTTCTGCTTTGATTAAAGTGAGTTCCAGGTTGAGGTTTTCATACTCTGAAGATTTTAAGCCTCTGTCCTCACTTGAAACTTTTTGTTATTTCAGGTGCAATTGCTGGTATAATTGATCAGCCAATGCAGAACTTCCAGAAAACATCTGAGACCCAGGCTTCAGCAGGACATAAGGCCAAGGGTGTCATCTCGGGCGTGGGGAAAGGAATCATGGGGGTATTCACCAAACCCATTGGGGGAGCAGCAGAGCTTGTGTCACAGACTGGCTATGGTGAGTAGATTAAAAAAAATCAGGCCAACTGATATTTTACTCATTAATTCATGCACATTCCTACTGAGGTTCTGTGAGTCTAGCCTTTCACACGGGCAAGGGTTGAAAAATAAAAGTAGCTATCTTTCTTGTATCCTAATGCTTATTTACAGAATAACAACTGCCAGTTAGTAACATCAATGAGTAATTTCAAATGTTTCATGCCCCCCCCCTTTTTTTTTTACAGTACACTTTAAACAGAATAAAACGTAACCAGTTAGAAGGGTCCAACAGTATGACACCAGAGGAAAGGTGATCACTTTTCATGTGATAAACTGGGGGGGTCAGGTCTTAAGCCAGGAAGACACTGTGCTTGTTCACTGTGAGAGCAGGAGACGAGTCGTCTGCAGTTTCCAGTGCTGAGAGCAAAGGCACATGTGTGCAGCTAAAATCCCTTTTCCCAAGCAAACACTGGAAGACCCGGGCTGTGGCGGAGTGTCAGGCCATCACCAGTGTGTCTGTGTATGTGTGCACAGTGGGTGGCGTAGAAGAAAGCACCTCTTGGCAGAGCTCGTTAAAGTGCCATGAAGCAAACACGTGACTAGAATTACCTTTTTACTTAAAACTTGATAGCATCCTTTTGGCCGTGCATCAGGCAAGTTAGCTGACATTTCAGACCACAGGAGGGGCCACCCACTTGCCAGACAGCATATCCTCTGTCTGCATCTGGCCAGACAATCAGCAGGACAGGGCACATTTCACTGCAGACATCCTGTGCTTCACTACTGACAAGACAGCCTCATCAGGGCACACATCCCAAGCATCCTTTGAGAGGCCACACTGACAGCCATGCTTCTACGCCCCTCTCTCTCCACTGCGGATGGCAGGTCCACTCACAGGGAAACTGACAGTACAAACTGCTACAAGCCAGAGGTGGCAAAGGGTGAACTCCCCCTCACTTACTCAGAAAAAGTGTTCGTTCTGCTCCCAACCCGAGTGGGGTAAAAGCCGTCTCCATAAGCTGCTTGGGCTTAAGACAACATTGTCCCTTACGTTTCCCAGGCTTAGGGACTTACTCGGAGCATCTTGGAGCAGAGCTTCACATGGCCTTCTTGGTTTCCATCACTCTTGTAAAACTTTTATTACCATGCTGAAGGTTTTACAAACCACTAACTCTTAGTCTAATGACTGTGCCTCGTTTATAAACATTTACAAGCCCTCAGAAAGCACACACACTGTACCATCTTTGGTTCTGCACTCTCTCTGAAGGTTACATGGCTGCTGCTGGGTGCCCTCGCTGGGTACTGGCACCAGGGAAAGCATGTAATAAACCAGAGGCCCAAGAGCACTCATAAATGTATACAGAACCTTGTTTAACAGCTGGATTAACTCATTTAAATTTAAATGCTGTATCTAGGCAAACCATGTGCCTCTATATATTCTTTTGGTTGTGTGTGTGTGTGTGTGTGTGTTTTTTTTTTTTTTTTTTTTAAGCCAGTCACAACAGATAATGTATACGAAGCAGCAAAATCAAGTAACATCGACTTTTAAAGCAAGTTTTAAATGACATGTAAGATACTCTGATGACCATTCTCTCGGGAGCATTATGCTTCCTACGTCAATGGTTCTCAACCCCCCTAACGCTGCGACCCTTTAATACAGTTCCTCATGTTGTGCTGACCCCAACCATAAAATTTTTGTTGCTGCTTCGGCTATGAGTCATAATGTAAGATATGGGCTTTCTGATGGTCTCAGGCAGCCCCTATGGAAGCAGTGGTTTAATGGTGATCTGTACACTTACTTCCAGAGATGTGACCTCATTTTGAATCTGTAGTATTTTATGGGTAGCTGTAAGATATCACTGTAGCGCAGAACTGTTTTCCAGAAAACAAGTAGTACAGCTCCTTTGCTTCTCATACCCACAGGTATTTTACATGGAGCTGGACTTTCCCAGCTTCCCAAACAACGGTACCAACCAAGGGATCTACATGCTGACCAAGCTCCAAACAGCCACGTCAAATATGTCTGGTAAGATTTCTGAGCCACTCACATTATACGTTTACATTCCCACTGTACATTGACAGACCCTGGCTTGCTCTCTTGCTAACAGACTTGTGTCCAGGGGAGACCAAAGGAAGAGCTGGTTTTGACCCCAGCATCTTGGACAGTTTTAGAGAAAGCCTGCTGTGGTGAGAATCTACCAGAGTCTGGTAGAGGTTCTCAAAAGTTTAGGTATAAAATTGGAGTAAACACTGATGCAGAACAGGTTAGACACCTCTGCTATTTCAGCTGCCTTCATCCAGGTGTTCTTTCTGTCCAGGGGTGAAGAGCAAGCTACCTGCTCTGACTACCTAAGAAAGCGCTAGAGCAAGAGAGACCCTTCCCCCTCAGCTTATCAGTTGTCACTCAGCAGACAAGACCACACCCTGGGGCTTGCTGTCCCAATGTCATTGGCTAAACAGATCCAAATACCACACCAGGCTGCTCTTCCTAGGTTGATGCTTGATAGAGAGCTCTGCTCCATGGCTGTGGGCGGCAAAACCAGGAAAGCTTGGAAGAGGCTGAGGCAGGATTGTCAGTTCAAGGCCGGCCTGGGCAACACAAGGAGACAAAACAAAATTATCTGCTCTGCTTGGAGCTCCTCATATAACAAACTGTTAAGTCTGGGCCTGCAGCAAGGATCAAAATTAAGTGAGGTTATCATTTCTGATGGGAATAGCTAAATGAAGCATAAGAAAATCTCCCCTCCAGGAGCCAGGTACTGCTGACCAGAATCAACCGAGAATTGGCGATGTTTTTAGCCAGCTTTAGCAAATATAGAACTAATGTAATATTAAGCTAACGTTAATAGTCCACCTTGCAATGGGGAAGGGCTTGGTTTTGGGGTTTGTTTTGAGGGGACATGTCCCAACCATTGATATACAGCAACAGCTGTTGTGACCGTCTCTCAGGCTGGTTCCTGACCACTTTCTTCCTTTTAAACAGGAAAATGCTTCAGTCTCTGGGTAGACCAGAAGTCCACATGGCCCTGGATGTAGTTCTGGTGAGAGGCTCAGGCCAGGAGCATGAAGGATGCTTGCTGTTGACCTCAGAAGTGCTCTTTGTCGTAAGCATCAGTGAAGACACACAGCAACAGGCCTTCCCTATCACAGAGATCGACTGTGCACAGGACACCAAGCAAAACAACCTGCTCACTGTGCAGCTCAAGCAACCACGAGTAGCCTGTGACGTGGAGGTACAGTTCAAAGGCGGGATGACTGGGCTAGCTTTCAGGGAGTTGAGATATAACATGATCCCTGTGCTCAGGCATCCAGGAGGTTTTGGAGAGACAGGAAGAATTGTAGTCAAGGTAGGCATTGCAGAAGGGACCAAAAAGGCCCCACCGACTTGTGCAAGTGAACCCTTTAGAGAAGAGAACAGCACCCTGGATGAGCTCGCTACTGGATTCTGGCAGTGTTTACACAGAATGGGTCTCAGGTACAGCATCTAGCAGGAGTCAGACATAAGCCCTGCCTGAGCCGGGTGGCTCTGGCCCCTCAGTCCAACCTACAAGGAGCAGATGCACCCACTGGGAAATTGCTTCCTTCCTGTGCACCTCCCAGGTGTGGCCTGAGCCACACATCCTAATTAAGTAATTAAAAAATTATTTTCCTATATGAGATAGAGGTGACCCTTACTGGGCATTGAAGAATGACAACCAAGGTCTCCAAATTTCCTCTAGCAGGACCTGCCCAATTCCTTCTTCAATGACAGGATCCTGTCTCCCTCACATTACTTGGTTAGAATTATCTGAGTAGCTGGAGAGCAGCCAACCACAACATCTCCTAGGATCTCTCCTGTTTCTTGGACTGTAATCAGTCAGGCTTTAAGCTGGGGCTTGGCACCAAGACTACACTGCTGTCTTCAGTTGCTGACTTTCTGGGAATAAACAGGGGTCGGGTGTCCGGGCTGACTTTATTAGCTCTGCCAGAAATCTTCTGATCCAGTTGACAATAAAGCAGCAGTGATCTGGCTACAAAATTTGGCAAAGGACAGTAGCATTGTCTTCAAGTCCTTAGTCCTGGAGAAACTTCCAAGCCCCAAGAAATATCCGTGACCAGTATTTTTCTTAGTTGGCACAGAAGTACTTCAGATCTTCAGCTATGATCTTTATCTTTTATTGATACCTAATTCTCAAACCTCATTTGCACTGTGGTTGGGGGTGGGGCTGAGACCTGTTTTTATAGTGACACCAATAGGCATGCAAAGGTGGGGTCGATGACCTCACATCCAGGGTGAAGGAATGGCTGCTAGAGGCAGAAAGAGCCCAGTCACACACCTCTATCTGGTCCTGTGCAGAGTAGTTGCCCATGCTTCAAGCTCCACACTGTTTCTCAGCATTGCTTTGTCCCACTCTTACCTTCAACACACAGCCCCTCCCCGCCTCCTGTGTCCCTCCACACTGCACTGCAGGAGGAAGAGGGATTGGGGCAATCCCAGACGGCTTTCTGCAGCTGTCCTGTTCAAATCAGAACCTACTAACAGAGTCCCCACCCGAAGCCTGGTCAGGAAGCCTGCTGCTGTGAAAAACAAGAGCCGCATTTCACCTTAGAGGCTGGAAACACAACTCCTTTGAATTTTGGAAGGAATTAATTTGTAGATGACATCACTGAGCATATTCAAATATGGCAGGTTTTGGATTTTTTTTTTTTAAATCAGCATTGCTTTTCTTGGTTAAATGCAGTCATTTTTTAGGGATAATTGCTTAATATGCCTGGCACATGATTAAAATCCCCTATGAGAGACTCAAAATGAGTCAGGAGGTCAATTTATTCCTTGGCCAGGTTCCTCTCACAACACAGGCTCTCCTGCTGCTGTTCAGGAGGAGCAATTAAGCCTTTTGTATATTCAAAGCTCTCCAGCTGAATTCTGGCCCCAACAAATGATATCATCACAACTCTAGCCTTTGCCTGGTGGTGCACAGCTTTCATCTTAAAGGGTTTCCTTTTCTTTCTCAGGCTGAAAAACACACAAGCCTTAGCTTACTCCTCTGGCAGGCCACTTTTTCTTCTGTAGCTTTTTACAACTTTTAATTTTTTTTTTTCCTGGGCCCTGCTTAAACTCTTTACATTACTGCAACTCTGAGAACTAAAACACCCCTATTAAAAGGCTTATAATTCTTCCAGAATGGCCTTGCCAATATTTAGTAGACTAAG